GCAGGAATGTTACCTGTGCCAGTTGGGTCATTTTGTCCGCTATGTCTAGCTGGCACTACTCAGACACCTAAGTGTTCAGACACCATTGTTTTGTATTCTACTTTGCTGTAGTGGCTTATATTCAAAAGTCAAAAAACAGCATTAGCTAATCTCCAAACACTTACATGTAAGGTGAATGTTGTACTTACGTGGAAATGGACGCAGAAGTTGAACATCTGTAAAATAGAGGTTTGGGGTCAGAACTGGGGTTGAAATTCAGGGATTCTAGCTTTCCAATTCTACTATTTAGTCAGCTAAAAGGAATGTCCTGTTCCTATTCTTAGTATCTCTTAGTCTTTATTAAATTTAGTTCGACCCAGGCTTATTGCTTTTTAATAAAGTGAGGAAAGTATGAGACGGACAGTGTTTCCCAGAAAAAACCACAGGACAGTGTCACTACAGATAATTGTAACGTCACACAGACCTCTGACAAATACCTTTTTTTAACTTCTGTAATAGGATGAATCAGGAGTCTGGTTAGAGCTAATCAACAACTTCCAATATTTATGTTTTAAAAATAAATGATTGATGTAAAATAGCAGGTAACAGCGAGCATTATGCCATGGTGAGAGGCAGTTTGCCAACATTGTAGCTGTAATAATAAAATGCATAGGGCAATTAGATTATAATGAACAAAAGGACCAAATCACTGCTGAAAACTGGGATGAGGCAAGCGGAATTTTTCTGTTGACAGGTGATTTGGGTTTGCAAAAACTGCTGGAGTCTGACCTATGAAATGAAGTGGGTGTTGAGTTACAAATTTGTCTTCAACAGCAAAGGAGTTCTGTTACCTAGCGCATACAAAATTACTTTCAGCTGTCTTACACCTTCTCTTCGTGATTTCCATATGACTGAGTTGTCATGTCTTGTAAGTGTTGGTCCTCTAAACAGAAAGACTGGAAGCAACAAAACAGATTCGTGATTTTGCACCTGATGCCACCGATACGAAATGGCTTTCTCCAGAAAAAGTTTAACAGTAGATGGCAGCAGACACTGCGGGATGTTCTGCACCACTCTAACCCAGCTTATCTTCCTTCTCTTTTAAAGGTTGTGTCATAACAAACAAACAAAGGTATATCTTCCAGAACCTCCTTTTCCCCATGCTGAGGTAAGTAAACCATGGTCTTGCTGTTTGCTAAGATCACCAAGTGAGTGGGTTTCAGGAACACAGTCCTGTGTGGCTGTTGTTTTTCTGATGAACACTTTTCCAGCTGTTTAATAGTTCTGTGTCGTTATTCATACAAGTTGTTGTTGTTTTTTTTTTTTCCTTTGCTTTCTGTGATTAATTTGGGAGCGTGGGAGAGGAATGAATGATGGTGTTCCCTCAACTCAAAAATTATCATGATGTTTATTTCAGCATATAACTTACATATGCTCGCCTGTTTAACTTCTTCCCCCGCAGAAGGCTGTCTGGTGTACACATGGTTGAACGTTTGCTCTTATCAGACTGCAACCACGAATATTCCCTTTGTCCAAGCAGTTTATTTCAAAGTCTTTGAAACTAAGAGCTTGTTACCAGAGACAGCTTAGTCATCCCAGCTCCTACCTCCCTAGCTGAAACAGGCACCATGTTGTCTGCTGCAGGAGAAATGGTATCTTGAAAGAGAGGTTTAATAAAAAAAAGTTAAAGCTTGCAGCACCGAGTGCTGTCATTGGCAATTTTAAATGAAATTACTTGAGCTAGCATCTTAGTGAAGCAAAAAGGAGTAAGGTTCCTGTCTCTGGGGGAGATCTCACTGCAACATATGTTGAGGGGATCTTCACCGCAACAAAATAATAATTTGAAAGGAAGTTTTAGCCAACCAGACATTAAATAATTGTGGTATAACTCATGCCTTCAGAGTTATCTGACAGAGTTACTCAAGAAAGGAAATCTCTTACTTTCTCCACTGGGAACAGGTAGATTTCCCAGTGAAGTAAATGAGAGGCAGAGTGGGAAAGGAAAAAATGGGACTGAGAAATAATTTTGGCTAAATCCTCCTCCTGTGAGACAGTGAGCCATTTGGGGCATACAGTCTCAGAAAATGGGCTCTTTTAGTTCTTGTGGTCATAACTGTTTGATGAAATGTGCAGAGTGGCCATTGCAGGTTTGAGAGTCCAGGGGCTAAATCCTTCTTCAGGCATTGTTGGGGTTTTTTTTTCCTCCAAGATTCCTCGTCCAGGGGCTTGTTCTGGAAATTACCATTGCCCAGTACATCTATCATCTGTAGGTGCTTCAAAGGCATTGTTGGAAGTAGGATCTGATTTTTTCTTTCCAGATGCTTGAATGCATTTCAAGCATGATGCACAGTGAATTATGTATCATCTGTTACCAAGAATAATGCAGACTTCAGGGCAAGCCACCTATTCACGAATATTTTTGTAACCAGAAAACTCATTCACACCCATAGATCAATTCCAACGCCTGATCTCCGAGTAGGAGACTCTCTACCCATGCTGCTGGCTATGCTTTTTAATTTCCCCTGCATGTCTGCTTCCCGAGGTGTCCTTGTTGATCCACAGTGTCTTTGTTTCACTGACAACCTATATTCTACCAAAGACATTGCTTCAAAATTTTAGTTTGCAACATGCACTGCAACTGGCAGGTTTAAGTGAAAGCCCTTCCAAAAATGAGAAGCTGTCAAAGTCTGGATTAATTAACCCATCTAATGTGATGGGTCTTTGTGTTTATAGAGTGATAAGTGTGTCCTCTAATTTTTAGGACATTTTATATTCTCCAGAGGCCTGTTGATAATGAGATTTTGCCAAATTATTGTTTAGCTGTTGAGGCATTTGTCTGTGCTTCATGTGTAGATCAAGGTAATTATCTAGGAAAGGACTCACAGCAGTGGCTAACAGATCAGTTTCCTTATGACAAAATGCAGTGGGCAGAGGGAGTAACCTGCCTGGTACAGGTACAGGCTTTGGTTGACAAGGCGAAATCATACAGGTTATGACCCACAAAGCTAGGGACATTTTATCAAGAGATGGACAAACAGCTTTATCTAGACCGATGGATATCATTGATAGGAAGCTGTTCTTAGGCTTCTTACACTTTTGCCTAAGGGTTCTCTTAAATGTGCTAAATGACACAATACAGTGTGTATCCACATCCTTGTGGCTCCCAAACTATGAAATGGCTGTAGCCTTTAGGCGTTTCAGCACTGAGCTGCCATCTGAAGCGAGTACTGCACATTTCACAGGGAGACCTCTAACACAACTAAGATTGTGTGTTTGGGTACTCACAGCTGCTGTATAAACACTGGGAGGTGGAGGAAACACTGGGAAGTGGAGTGACCTGCACTACCGCCACCCCATGATGGACTAAATGTGTCTCTTCATTGCTAAATCCTGATACGTACTGGCTGTTTTGCAAAACCAGTTTGTACAGTGGGAGGCCGCAGACCTAGGCATATAGCAGCACTCTTTCAAAAGCCTGGCTTAATAGCAAAAGCAAAACAAAGTAATACCCAGGCAAAGAAAGGCTGAGACTGCTATTTCATTTAGTGCTTTTCCTAAGATCATAAATCACTGAAGTTTAGAGACACTTGAGAACTGATTCCTCCTTTCTGTTCTGTAAGATGCATGGTTTGGTTTAGTTTGGTTTTAAACAGTCAAAGCATATTGAGATTTATATAGATGACTGACATGTAAGACACCCATGCTCACCAACACGGCGCCAAGATGCCCGTGTCAGGTACCCAGTGCTCAGCATGTGCCTTTGATTCCTTGTTACTGTCCTCTGAGGTACAGCTACTGTCATCCTTTTAGTCATGTAATCGTCAGCTGCCTTGGGCTGCATTCCAGCTGTAGTGGTACCTGCAGCTGGTTGTGGTTTAGTGCTGTCGTACTGTTTCTAAGGCATGGGAAAGGAGCTAGGTTTCTTTTTCTTGTATGAAACACAGAGTTGGAACAGACAGTGTAAAGAGAAGAGGGGCAAAACGTTGCAGCTGACACTGTCTATGTAAGTCATATAACGTGAAACATCCATATAACCTCTTTTCAGTACAATCTTTAACAAATGTTTTATTTATTCCCTGGCAGAAACCATTATGCCTGTGCAAAGAGTATCCATAATAGGGTCAGCTGCTGTGATGTTCTGGTGTAATTTTACCAAGCAAAATGGTCTTAATAGACACCTGGCCTGAATGACCTGTCCATGGCCATACTGTCAGCCTAGGAGGGAGCGAGGACTTGGACTCGAGGCTTCCCGTTACTAAGTTAGAGCCTTAGTCAGCAGCCAGCCTTTTTGATTTAGGTAAACACTCTCTTTCTAAATCTGTGGCTCTACAACCTCACAATCGGAAGCTCTGCTTACTAGCACTTAAGGGCATTTTTAATGAGTATCAGAAACAGACAATGAATGATCATTTCTATTGAATAGGTTGTTAGTGGAGAATTGCCTTACTTTTTTCAAAGTAATGATAGGCTTGTGCAATGTAACCTATACGGAAATTGCCCATCATGAAAAGATGTGCTTAGCTGCTCAATTGTTGGAAGAAAATAGGGAATTACTCAGACATGCCTCTTAGTTATTAGCAAGCATTAATAACATGCCTGGCATGATACATCAGAAAGGGACAGGCCAGGAAATAAGCTCCTAATTATCTACGGAACAAGTCCAGCCCAGCATGCTGTCTGCTCCTGAAATTCAGGGTTCCTGTTAGTTGTATAAACACCAAGACTTAAAAACAAACAAGGCAAAAAATCCCCCAAATTGTTGATGTAGTCTGTTGCAGCACTGAGTTCCAGTGGTGCCTGATGCATAGTATAAAAAAGCATTTACTTCCTTTAATCAGTTGTGATTATATTTTGCATTTCACTTAACTATTCCTTTATTATTGTTACAAGAGAATAAATAAAAGTATCTTCATCTTCTCTGCAAATATTGTTTTTATTTTATCTTACTCTCTATAGGAAGTTGTGCGAAGCTTTTTCATTCTCTTTGCCTGGAAGTTTTCCAGGTTTATGATTTATGTTACCTGTTTTGAACTCATTCCTTGTTCTGCTGTGCTGAATAAAACCAGACACACTGTTCAACTCTGCAGAGAACCCAAAACACTTCTCCTCCCTGTTACTTCCGCTTTAATGTAGTAGTAGATGTTCATCATATCTCCTCCCACACAATCACTGCATACAATTTTTTGATGTGGCAGTTTGTTTCCTAACATCCAGTCCGAGTGAATAGGGAATATACTTTCCCTCTGTTACGAGCAAGGAATGTGGGCTAAAGTGCTTCAGGCTTGTAGGGATGGATTGGGACATCAATTCCTACTAAAGTAAATATGAATGGAGTGTCCACATTTTTGCACAAGCTTTTGAAGTCTCATCTGCAGCTTTTAGCAGCGCACAAGCTAAAAGAGCTTCTTTTTAAAGGCATTTCTTTGCGATCGCTGGGGTAAGAGTTCCTGTGACTCGGTTTGAGAGAGTTAGGATCTGGAGCAGGACTGCCCTACATTCCAGCCAGGGATTTCTCAGGAAGAAAACTAGGGCAGTGGAGTGGAGAAATAGTCAATTAGGTAAGGGATGGACCGCTCTGGATGGCCGTCCTCTACGCTTAAACAAAAGTGGCAATTCAGTTTTTCACCGGCAGTTACTGTGATTGGGAAGAGAGGAGAAGGAGCTCAAACTGAAGTAACGTTGGAAGCTTCTGCAAAGTTAAAAACTGGGGTTTCCAAATGCTTGTGAATACAGCAGGCTGGCTGAGGGAGGTGGTGGCTTTCACTTCCAAGGCACTGTATCAGTTATATTCTAGGATCAGCTGTCTAAATAGGCTTAGATTTAAGCTCCACAATGCCTAGCTGAAATGCTGTGGAGCATAAATCAGTAATTTGTTTTGTTTAGAAGTGTTATTCTGATATCCCAGAACCAACTTGTGGTCTTTTACCAGATTCTTTGAGGGCATGGGAATGTCCCATCCTAACACAGCCACAGCTGAGGAATTAGCCATATCCCTGACCATTTTAACAGGAACCATGGATTGTATGCTTGGCACCATCCCTTTTGTGGAGGTAGAGCCTTTATAAATGAATAGTTGAATTGTTCTAGTAAGGCAAAATAGAAGCTTTCACTCCTTTTTCTTTCTGCTCAGTCTTTACATAGATGATTTCAGCCTATAGGATAGGTGAATCCAGACTTCTCTAAATGTCTGCAAAAGAAAAAGTTGAGAGATAGTTTATATTGATCAGTATTTGCTAGTGGAGGAAGAATTTGGATTTACTGACCTCTTATTAAGGATTCTGTTAGCAACATCTAAGAGAAATGGCTATGAAAAACCTCTTTTTCTGACTCAAAAAATAGCCAGGGTGGGAGTAATATTGATTCTGTGGTCTTAAATACTAGCATTTGTCTTCTTCATCTTTGATTCCCACCTCCATGTACTAGTTCCTGTGTAACACATTCAAAGCAATAAATAGCTGGAGCCAGGTGATTGTATAGTATTATGGTTTTTGTCTTACAGTATTATATAGAATTAGGTCCCTGTTAGTGTTGGTCTGACAAAGGGAGTAAGGGAGGTGAAGTAATAAATGCATCACTCGTTCACTGATAAGAATCACATCTGTTCAAAATTTTGGATACAGAACACACACACACACACACAGAGACAGAGTAAATAGCAGTGTATTTTGGCTCACTTCAATAGAGGGTACACAAAGGCTCTGGAGATTTATCCTGTTTATAGCAGCAGTTGCTGACCCTGTAAATCAAGTCTACGGCTTTAAAGGGAAGCATAACCATTTGGGATTTAAAAAAACCACAGCTCTCCTCAGTCTCGGTTCAGTACTTTACCATCCTCTATCTCTTAAGCTTTCAGTCAATAATAGTTCTTTCTGTAGAAAGATGCTCTGAATGTTGCTCCTGGTTTCCAGAAATCAGTCTCGTTTGGAAAATACTGGTTGGCTAAATGCCAGGCGTTGGTTTTGGTACAGGTTGGAGATCTGAACAAGACACAGGAATGACTGTTGTGTTTATACAGCCCATCTCATCTCTAGATATAAAAGACCTGCACAAATCATTACAAATTTAGTCCCCTTAATGATTTGTGAAATTTTGTTGGACCTGTTTTGCAAGTTCAGCTCCATATGTTTTTGATTGGGTAATTAGAAAAATTTTGCTCTAGACACTAAAATCTACCAGCTGCTTTATCACTGGAGTGAGTAGAATGCCTCTAAACTTGTTTTTGTAGCCTTTCTCTCCTATGTCCAGCTGTGAGAATCAGAGATTGTGAGCTAAGGTATGGAACTTCAGTAGACTTTTCCGAAAAGATCTTCGAAGATGAAAAGATGAAAAAAAAAATCACCACACCTCAGGACATGGTGCTGAGGATCCAATATGTGTCCCTTTTCCCTCCTGAGTTACCACCCAGTTAGAAGCAGTGCACCTCAGTGTTACACTAGATGTTTTGTTGCTGGAAATAAAAAGAAAATATTAAAAAGAATGACACAGACAAAGCCCAAAGTCCTGAAAACTGAGTTAGACATCCTGTGTCTCTCTACAAAGTAATAGGAAGAGATTTGAAGCTTCCATAATGCTTTGAAGAGAATACAGCTTTTATGTTTATAAACAATGAACATCTGCATAGGTATAGCAGCGAAATAGGCTGTTGAAAATGCTTTTGTACATAGAGTGCTGCTCTCACCTCTTAGCAAAGATTTGAATGCTACTATATGCAAATATATATAATCCTAAGCAACCTGTGAAACAGGATGCTGGAAGAAGAGTTTGTGATTTTCAGAAGTATGTTACATAAATTCTAGCTGTAGAAATGTCTTTCACTTAGCTATCTGCTGATCCCCCAAAAAAGCAGGGAAGAGCTTCATGGGGCCATTTCCTCCCTGTGCTTTTAAATGCCAGTATTTTATGGGATCAAATTTGTTTTGCCCATTGTCTGCTAAACTGCAGTTTTTATTACTGAAGCTAAGTTTAGATTCTAAATATTGCACTCCAGATGTGTTAATCAGAAATCTTTACTAGTCTTAATTGCAGAAATGTTTTCAAGATTCAGAACATATTAACTGCCAGAGCAGTTATTGGATTTTTTTTTTTCAAATTTCCCTCTTGAAGATTAAATAGGAATTTGATATTACGAGTAAGCTGCAGAAAGTGTAGTCTCCTAGCTACTTCCTCCATCATCCAAGGATCCATGTGGAAATAACGGGCTGTGTCCACCTACAATTTCCATCTTATGTCAAACCCCAGGAGGGATGATACCAATCCCATTCCATTCCAGCCATCTAGCTATTGCACAGCAGTTATAAACAGGACGTGTGGGGAGTCACATGCAAAACTGCAGCAAAATATTTGCTGTTAGGAACTTGAAGGAGACCAAACTCGAGGAAGCAAAGGAGAAAGATATAAATATTGGCACCTATGTGCAACCAACCTTCTGTTATTGAAAGGGTACTGAGGGTAAGTTTGTACATTGTTCTAGCACCAAAGCATACCTTTAGGTGGTGACAGTTAGAGATTGAGTAGGGTTGATACTTTTGTTCATTGATGCTAAGTTCAATTAAGAACCTAATTGTGTAATAACCTTGAGTTCTGAAGTGCTTTGTTGTGCATAAGTTGCTAAGAGGCTTAAAGAAGCATCAGAATTCTCAGCTTTCTGTTCGTTTCCATGTAGGCATGCTATCTTGAGTTAGATCTACCATAGTAAAAAGTAACAAAGAGAATCTGGAAAGATGAATTACAACTTTAAGAGACCAGAAGAGTTGCTTGTCATAAGGTTCTTTCTTAGTTGGTCTTTTGAAAATCAAATATATTACAATGAAGAGGAACGTCCTGAGAGGCAGGGTTTTCTGCTAGAAAGGCATGATGTGCACATCATGTTACGAGTACTGTTCCACTTTTTCACACTCTTTATTTCCATGTATGTTCTTAGTTGTTGAGTGTGTGATTTCGTTGTGTTAAATTGCATACTTTTTCAGAAAACTGTATTTACAGTTATTTTCAGGCTGGGGATGGAAGCATATACCTGCCGAGAAAATACTTGTGAAATATTGCATGAAAGTGCTTAGCAGACCAGTCTATTAAATTGCTTTTTAAGTTGAACCTTGCTTTGCAGATCAGAAAACAATGGCAGGAGAAATAAAGCAAAATTCTTCAAAAAGTGCCTCGATAAATAAACTTCCTCATCTTAGTAAAGAAATCTGTCCGACATGCATAGTTGATTACACTCTGTTTGCCAGCTGTAGTGACAAGTACTTCTTAGTGCTCTCAGTTCATTGTTATTACTAGTTTCAGCGATAGTTAAAGAAGGCCAAGTCAGTCTATTCTTTCATATGTTTTTTCAGAAGACTTGACTTTGTGCCAACCCATTATACCAATGAAACTCATAGCAACATACTGCTGAAGGCAAAATTGCCTGATATTACTGTGGTGCAAGAAAACCAGGTTAAACGTCAGTGCCCAGAGCTCTTTGTAGACAGGGCAAATAGGAAAAAGTGGCTTATTTTGAATTTGGCAGCTGAGCCCTCTGTTCACTCCAGGAAGCTCTAAGCAGGGCATGTTTGCAGAGTTTCCTCTCAGTTACCGTACTGCTGGTACCAGAGAAATGAGAGCAAGGACTTGGAGGCACCTGGCCCCATACTCTGACTTCCTTTTCATAACATTTAGGACGGTCATGACTAAATTTGTTGGAAAATCTAGGGAATATGCAGAAAGGGACTCTGTGATGAGCTAGAAATAAACTGTAGAATATTTATAATGTCATGTAAATAAACACACTGAACTACAGAGTAGAGAGGCATGAAAAGTTTGTAATGTCTGGTATTTTATTTTTATTTCAGCTCATTCAGACGAACAAATTGAAACATTATCCCAGCATCCATGGAGACTTCAGCAATGACTTCAAGCAGCCATGTGTTGTGTTCACTGGACATCCCTCTCTTAGATTTGGGGATGTGGTTCATTTCATGGAGTTATGGGGAAAATCTGGCTTGAACACGGTTATATTCACAGGTAAGTAAAATGCAGATACTATTATCATATTAACAGTAGGTTGTGCGCTCTGGTTAAGTGTGGCCACATCCTAGGGGCTTTGCTCATTTGTTCTGGAGCAGAAGTTTCTGACTTCAGTAGGATCTCATCTAAATTAAGACCCCAGGATTGACTGTAGGGAGAAATGTAATTATGGTGCCATTTAATTCATTTTAGCCCTGCAGGGCCAACCTTTGCCATGCAGAGTCCATTCCTGCCATTTCTAAGCAAAATCTTTGTTATGCACAGCAGTAAAATGCCTACAGGAAATTAATTTTTGGATTAAAAGCAGTTGGCTGCAAGTTAAACCCAGGCAAGACCTAATTGATGCTGGTCAGAAAGGAGAAGTACTTCTCCATATTCCATTGGAATCACAAATCCTCCTGCCTTTTCATCAAAACCTCAGGCAACCAGTCAGTCTGTTTCTAAAGATGTTTCTGTCATCTCTGCTGTTTCGGGAGCGTGTACCCCATACAGACCTGGCAGTAGTGATCTATGCCGTTGCTGCCTTTTGGCTGAGCTGTTTTTTCAGACGGTTTTTGGCTGACAGACACATTTGTATCTGAAGCTGAAGGTACAGCTCTAGCTAGTACCCTGGGGAGCTGGGTCCTTTCTCAATGACTCAGGCTGCCAGGGGCACAACAGGTCTTTTAAGACCTCTCCCAGTCTGCTTCTAGTGCTGACCCTAATGGATTTAATGAGTCAAGCCCTATCCACCTCAGAACGAGCTATGGTCTGAGATCCACAGGGCAGCTGCATCTTGGAACAATGCTGATCATTAACGGCAAGACAAGGTATTTAAGAGAGAACATGAAGCTTTTGTGAAAACTAGCAAAGGGGCTATCTTCCAGAATTTGATCTCCTTTAAAAATACTTCACGGCCTTCCATCAAACTGACGTTCTGTCCAGGTGCCTCCTCTTTAAACCCGATATGTCATCCAAACAGAACCCTACGGTGGGCAGTCTTCAAATCTGAGAAGGGAAAGAATCCTTTAGGCCATTGCTACTGATTTTATGGATAACAAACTCTGATATAATTGGGAGATGTACTATATATAACTTCACCAGGTAAAAAAGGTATGGATTTTGGACTAGAACAAAGCAATTAGAAATGGGGAGGAAAACACTGAGTAACTGATCAAACTTACTCCCACAGCAAGGGCGTAATGGAGTCCCACTGTTAAGCTTATTTTCCTCCTCTTTTTGGTGAATAGGACTGCTGGAAAGCACATAACCTCCTAAAGCAAAGAGGGTTGGGAAAGGGTTATTTCCTTCCTTCTTTGTTTTTTTAACTGTAGACTTGAGGCTAGCGATGAGCAAGTCCCTTTAACTCTTTCACAATATTGGTACCAAAAAGTGTCACAGTATCATGATACTGTTAAACCAATTTGGAAAGATTTAAAGAAGTGTGTCAATAGCCCTACTGCAAGGGGAGGGATGGTACGAGGGGCGTCCTGCTGAGCAGATAAAACACTTAAATCTAGACTGTGTTTATACTGGGAAATGGTGCATGGTACCACAGCACTAACGTCGTAGCTGTTACAGTATCCATCACTCCTGACATTTGAGGTAGTTTCAGGGATATGCCCTAATTACAGTAATTGGTAAAACTGCAATATAGATATGCATTCTCTTGGAAATAGTGAATTCTACTCTAGTTGGGACTTCAATTAAAACCAGAGTGTGTACACGCTTTGCTGGGTTGTGTATTTCATGAATCGCTAGGAAATCAGTGGCATTAATCATGTTCTGAATGTGCTACCCACCGTTAGCAGGGGTGTCAGGAACTGGTCTTTAATGGTAAGAACTCTTATTCTGTGTTTTTTTTAAGGTAATTGACCTTTCTGTATTAAAATGTAATCCTTCTGTGAATTGAGGAAACAGAGCAGACTTCGATTAGAACGTGGCCCTGGCAAGTTGTTAAGGCATCTGAACGGCAGTCGTAACAACCTGTGGATACATTAGGTCGTGATCTTTGAGATTCATTCCCAGTTTATCCTTCAAATGAAACTCCAGTTGAGATCTGCTTCGGTCATGATGACCTTGGAGTGCACGGTAATTCCAGGTGCTTGTGGTGGTTTGTTTCCTAAATTTGTCTATCCGTGGCTTTTGGACTCTGTCTCGGTCTGTAGGCATATCCACTCGGCAGGATGTTCCTACTTCCTTACAACTGTCTCAGCTGGAACAAAGACATCTATGTCTACAGAAATTCCTAGCAGATTAAATTCTTCTGTTCTTAGTAACTCTAGTGGAAATCTGAAGCACCTCCATTGATGCCCAGGATTTTTATTATTTAATTATCTAGCTTCTCCTGTTTTAAGATAAAATCTCCTGTAGTTATGAAAGAAATTTGGTCCATTGAAGCGTATGATAGCAGATGATGTTCTGGCTTTCCCCGTGAAAGACTCCTAGTTTCTAGTAATTAGGACCTTTAAACTACAGGCCATCCAGTATTGTTAACGGTGACACTGCTTGTTCAGTCCACAGGAGCTGGGTAGTCTCCACCTTTCCAATTTGTAATGTAAAAAACAACTAGGAGAGAATATAGACTAAACCAGCAGCTGCAGCCAATAGACAGGACACCAGCTGCGAGTGAGCTGTAGTGCTGCTCTGCTTGTGTCATCTGCAAACGTTACCACTGAAGCAATATTGAATAGATTATTGATTAAAAATATTGAATCCCACTAAGCCGCAAAGAAATTCTAGAAGAAAACATGGTAGAAAGAAGTCTGCTTCTTGCTCTCTCTCCGATAGCAACAGTGGTTTAAAAACTAACTCCCTAGGAGATCTTAAAAACAGCTCATGCATGCCACATTAGTGCTGTACAGTGGAAGATTTTATAACTCAGTGTCACACAGTAGTAAATCAGATGTCTTGGGGGAAAAGCTAAAGACCTGTAATTCTGTCAGAAAAAGTCAATATGTGTCCTTGACAAGCGCTGTCTTCCATCAGACAGGTGACTTCTGGTTTTTTTGATAGTTTCAAAACAGCTATTCCTGTATGTCACATGAATTCACTGAGACTAGCTCAAGTTTTTCAGGTGTCCTAAATCTTCAAAGTCCTGTGTTAAAATTCCTTCATTAGAATTCTGCACTTTTCCAACGCTCTTACGTTCCTATTAGTTGTTCAGAGAAACTATAGGCTGGGTGCCATTTTGGATTCTTGGATCAAAAAATCCACGTCTGTACATTATTGGAGCCTTGTGATTCAAAAATACTTAGTCGGAACAGGTGCTGCCTCATGGCATTCTGAGATGCAAGCAGTCAAATCTCTGTGTTATCCACAAGACCAGATGGGATGGAAAAGCTCTCATCTAATAACTTTTTAAACTTAATATTTGCAATTTCATTGTACATCTCTAGCAGAGGACCTATGCCTGATGTAAGTTTTCTGATTTTCCCCAATAAGTTTTAAAATGTCTTCTGATTTAACCCTAATTGACCACTGATCATTCTTCAACTAGCTACCTTCTTAGTATTCTTATTTTTAAACTTCTATTCATTGCTATTAAACTTAACTGCCATTAACTACCATTGTTATATCGATATTTTTAGGCTTTGTTTCATTGCCACTAACACATCTGCTTTTAACTAGCATGGCTTTTTGCCCAGTATTTATTTCATGTTTGTGGATTCGTGGCTTTCTTGGGCATCTAGTAAGATGCTCTTGTACAACTATCATTTTTTGTTAATATTTCTGACTTTGATGTTCCCAGGCAGTTATTCTGACAGTTGCTTTAAACTTGGGAAGATTACCCCCTTGACAGTTCCAAACATATGTATCATTGGCTGATGCTATATTCTGTTCTCACAGAGTAAGTAAAACCCCATCATGATCACTGGTACTTAGCCAGCAGCATATTTTTAGGCTAGCAATTAACTTGTCTTTATCAGTATAATGAGGCCCCATATTGAATGTTGGATGCCATGCTGGGTGCTGAACTTCTGTGGCAAAGTTTTAAGGACATTTTTTCTTGCTGTCTACATGAAAAATCCAGCCAGTGCTGTCCTCAGGATGATGTAAGAACATAGAAGATGGCTGTCTAAATCTAGAGTGAAGTCTCTGTATTTAAGTTTCCTTTAAGTTCATTCTTTTACACAGACGGGGCAGATAGCAGAGAAAGACTTCATACTGCTGCCTAGAAGGCTTGGTGGTTTGCAACTGCACTTTACTCTGCAGGTTGGCTTTTGAGGCCCTGTGGTTCAGACTAGTCTAGCAGATAAGTCTTTCATGCATCCCCTTCTCTTTTTCTCATTCTGTACTTAGCAAACTAATACCAGTTTTTCTTTTTCTAGCATTCCCTTTATGCAATCTGTCCCACAATTATCAGGTAGATAGCGATGGCATAAGCTTTTCCACATCATTAGTTGTTGGTCCCCAGAATCAAGTGGCTACATGTATCCTTCACTCTCTCACCTGTAAGAGCTACGTTTTTCATACACCAAAAAAATAGTATTTTTCTGTAGTATTCTCAATATTGTATTACACTCTGTGCAAGTAAAAGCCCATTTGGTGCATGACTTTTCCCTGGCAAACCTCTAATCTGATTTTTAAAAGTCAATAATAAAAGTATGAAGGGAAGTTGAGACTTGCTAGGTCTAATAAAGTTACCAACTAATAAAGTTCTCAGAACCCATCTCTCCTTCTGGATAGCCCCGACTGCAAGCAACCTTCAGTTCATACTGGCCTGAACTAGAGCTGCTCTGCTGGCATAACTGTAAAAAGTCCAATTGCCTGTCCTTTCAACAGGAGGGCTCTTGGCTTATATTAAAATTTGGACCCTTGTTTTTCCACCAGCCTAAACCTGACACTTAGATTAAAAAAAAGAGAAAGTACATATCCTGTAAGGAAAAAGAGGAGTTGGGAGGTAATGTGTCTGCAGCAGAGGACATTGGTACACGTTTATCAAGATACAATCTTTGTGCTGCATTTTTGCCATAGTGAAAAACAAGCAGACATTTGGGTTACCTTATGATACCAAAAAAATATACATCTTGCCTTCTTTTACAGAATCCGATTAAAAATAAGAGATGAAGTTTTTGTCTTGATTAAATTTGTTTAAAAATCATGCAGTAATGCGTTGGAATGAAATAGTATTGCTCTGTTGCTTCATTACAGTAAAACTAATTGTGGGCATAATTTTCATCAAATTAACTGAAAATAACAGGTGGGGGAAGGAAGAAAGGAAGACAAATCTATAACAGAATTAACATTGCTGAACAACAGCTTTTCTAGGCTAGAATGTGGAATCAGAGAGAAATTGAGCCATATTTGTTCTTAATAGGCATTCAGTGTTTTCAACATTTCTCTTTTCAGAGCCCGATTTCTCTTACCTGGATGCCCTGGCTCCTTACCAACCTTTGGCGATGAAATGTGTTTACTGTCCCATTGACACAAGACTGAATTTTATTCAGGTGTCTAAATTACTCAAAGAAGTCCAGGTAATGAATTTTCTGTTGCCTTTTCCTGTGTTTCTTCACACCCTTGGAATAAATACGTCAATTGTGAACAACTGTTACATTAAACAATAGCAAAATCAAGACAACACCCAGATCCTTTTTTCCGTGAGAGAGCACATAGCGTTGAGCTCTCCTTGATAATCTTGCTCCAAAATGAATATGGCATGACTGCCAGTCTCTGCACAGAGTGGCTGGAAGATCCTTAAAAGCTTAGAGTGCAGAGCAGATGGTATGTACATTCCTTTCCTCCTTGTTAGGTATATACAGTCATAATAACTTTTTCCCTGATTCTTTTTCTTGTTTGCATGAACAAGCCTGGCTGTGTCTAATACAGTCTTAATGTAAAGGGTACCAAGTGCTGAGTATCCTCAGCTTTAACCATCTCCTCTGCTCTATATCATGCAATTGGTACTTGCTTTGGTCCTGGCACTGCTGTTCTGGAGTTTCACTTTTACATTCTTCCAAATCTACTGCTTTCCGTACTGCATTTGCAAAATCCAGACTTCTTCTGTCTTGGAAGAAGGCCAGAGTGTTCATGTAGTCTCTGCTTTCCCCCCTTGACTCTTTTTGGCTTTAGTGGCCTCTCCCTGTCCGTCCAATTTGTTTCTACTGAAATTTGCTTTCTGACTTATGACATAATTAAAATAATACCCAGTTTTTTTCCTGGCTGAGCTTTTCCCTTTTTTCTGTCTTCAACTTGTTGAACACAAAAGTACGTATTCTTCCAAACCTCTTAACAATGTCTGGATCATTTTGTCTCCTTGTTCTGTGACCTGGCTTGTCACCGCGCAACTGAGAACAATTGCCTCTGCCTGTTTTTCGAACAAGTGTCTTCTTTCATGTTACTACTGACGTATAATGCTGTTTCCAAAACAGTTTGCAGAAACACTGTCTTGTCCTTTGGCTTCCTTAAATCCTGCAGTGATCCTTCTGGCAACTAGCCTGTTTATGCTTTGTTAATATATTGCTGACAGGTCATGAAAACTCTGAGTTGCTTATTATGCTCATGTTTTTGCAGCCTTGCGTATTGATACATCTGCCTCACTCCATGCCATTTTGTGATGGTCTCCACCACTACTGTCATTTGCTTCCAGTTTAGATGACAAGGATTTGGAAGAAAAAGCTATTGAATATTCTTCTTTTTTCTCTCCTTATGGCAGCTAACATGACTGCTGATATTGAAGTGGGGATTAAAGACATAAATTTAGGCCTTGTCAGTCTGGACACTGTTGTATACAAAGCAAAGACCGCCTGCTCCTTGAACAGTTTGTTCCAATACTGACTGGATCTTCTGGATTGCATCTTCTGGATGTTGTTTCCATACAAATAAATTAGCTTGCTAACAACAATATGCAGACCTCCTTATGGCAATGATTACTGTTGTAGGGCAGCACACAGAATCAACCAAACATTTTTGTAAGTCATCACACTCTTCTTTTCCAGCCTCTCCACGTAGTTTGCCCGGAGCAGTACACTCAGCCGCCGCCCACCCAGTCTCATCGCACAGATCTGATGATAGACTGCCAGCCTCCGCCAATGTCCTACCGCAGAGCAGAGGTGCTGACTCTTCCGTACAAGCGGCGCTATGAGAAGATTGAAATCATGCCAGAAGTGAGTAACAAAAGTGAGGAAAAAGATGAGATGGTGGCTTCTTGCGCATGCAGTCAAATTCAAGCTACTGCTTCAGTAGCCCCTTTGACTAAAGGTATCTTGTGACTGTGATTTACTGTTGACTATGATCATATAAAGCTCTTTCTATCAAATGAAGGGCTAAGAAAGAAGCATTTCTGAGAGAGAATTTCACTGTGTAAACTAATGGGAATTGAGAAAAACATTGTGGGCAAGCAAAAAATGTGTTCAGGTTGCAAGGATATGTCTCATCTCAAAGTACAGAACAAAGGGCAATCTCTGCTAGCCACCTGTGAGGCAAGCCAGTCATCTCCAGTTTAAATATGAGTAAGTTGAGGCACTGCGGTTTGAATTAGTGGCCCAGAGCCATGGAAAGGATCCAAAGAATCTGGGAGTTAGTAGCCAGGAGTTGTCTTTCTGCTTCCCCAGCTGCCATGAGAAATACCCTTTCCCTGAGGAGCAGTATTCAGTCATATGTTAAAGGCACAGTAGTGAAATGGCTCATTTGTATTGCAACAGTTTCAATAAATGGTTAATTCCTACAGACTGCTGAAGTCCAACAGGTTAATGGGTTGCTTGTAGCCATCTATAACGTGGACTACTTATGCCCGCAACATCTATTAATAATTTATTAACCCCATAAATCAAATATAAATGTACCCATAATAGAAAGGATGACCCATATTCTAACAGACATGATCTTAAAATATTTTTTTGACAATCCAATCAGCACAAACGTGTCCTTGGATCAAAGGTGACAGTGACTTTTTACAAGCAGGCTTTACTGCCCTTTGGAAACTGTTGAATACGTGAGTCTACTTTTCGTCAGAGAGTAGAGGGAGGAAGTACCCTTAGTTAAGCCAAACATGAAGTACAGAACTGGTACCCGTGTAACAAAATGCCTCAGCCCGTCCGCAACACCTGTTCCTACCATTTCACATGTGTCTACATTGTGCCTTAGTTCTGTTAGGAGCCTGCCCAGCCCACTGGTTAGAGGACTGCCAGAGACAAGGAGGGATTTTTTAATTAGAAAATATACTTAGATGCAACTCCATCATGGCATGTATATTTAATTGTTTTGCAAATTTGCATATTTATTGGATCCTATTAAACCTGAGACTAGTAAAATGTGGCTTCCATTCACCAGCATGACGAAAACAAATCTTACTCTGAGGCAGAGAGCCAGCACATGACTTGCCTATTATTTAGATTCCAATGAAGCTTTGGGTTTTCCCCTAAACTGTGAGGGTGTAAGTGAGCCTTTGTATTTGAACCTATCCATTGTGTCAGCCCTGTGAAGAGGGTGAATACCACCTTTCCCTGCAAACAGAATGCAAATTAGCACAGGTGCTACAGATGAATATTCACTAACCAACTTACACATTTTGAAGTTCCAATCAAGGAGGAGGGTTGTCTAAAAGCTAGGCTGGTGCATGGGAGTTGCAGGTTCAGTTTCTTGCTCTCTCGGAGTCTTCCGATATGATCAGGACAAGTCTAAACACAAAATGCAGCTCACATTGGAAAGGACACCGAGGCGTGCAGAGTTTCCTGGCAGAGCTTATTAGTCTGAAGGCAGTGCCACATTCATGGGGCTAGACAGCGTCAGAAAGCAAGTCAGTGTTTCTCTTGTTAGCTTGGCTGTTGGCAGCAAGATCCCTTACACTCGAGGCTCAAGAGACCATGTGGGTTCAATCTCATTGACAGCCACCAATGTGAAAATGCTCTCCATTTCTCAAACACAGATCTCTAGAGGTTTTTAGGTGCTGTCTGTCACTGAAGTGGATGGATTCTTCCTATACCTCTAGGTAAAACCAGTGCACACAAATAAGAGCACTTCCCCAAACTGCTGGGATGTTGGAGGGAGAATGCACTGTAGACAATGTGGTATTCACCAACCTGGGAATGGATATCAAAGAAGCACAGAAAATGGGAGCTAGTTTCTGTTGCATTCGCTTTTAACTTGGAGAGTTCGAGCAGAAAGCTGCACAGACAGGAATATTGACAGAAATGGCCCTTTTTTTACCTCTAACAAATAACATCAAATTATATGCACATAGGAGTCCTGATTTCAGAGCTATCTGTGCTCAGGGAGTAGAAACAGCTCATGTGATTTTCTAAGTCCAGGTATTCTCCCTGGTTCCAAAGCTGCACTTACCAACTTGTTGCAAAAAGCTACTTGGTATGTAATGATGATCCTGAAAAGACTTTTTAATATGATACAAAAATTAGGTAGACAGGTCATCTCTGAGACTTTCAGGAAAGCTGTTGTCCTTCCCCACTGGTGTCAGGGAGGTAGTGTTTGCTTACCTCAGAGGGTTCTCTGAGCATTAGCCCCATTAGTGGTTGTGTGCTTGCCTCTGAGAGCAAGGCTGTGATCAGGGCTGTTAATAGGGTGTCATTCCCCAGCACTGAGATATGCAAATCATCCTCAAAAAGAGACCTTGCTTATTTTTTGTAAGGGAACTTGCTAGAGGAATAGCAATGCCAACTCTGTAGTGATCATAGTCTGTCTCCTCAGACCCGTCTCTATTTCAGCATGTCTTCATCACATCACTGTGTGAGGCCAGTTTTTGCGTCCAGCTTGACCTGCAGAGTGGTGGTAAGGCATGGGAGGGGTGGTACATTGTCTCCCACCCTCTCTGACTTTGGTCTTTGAGTCTTAGCAGCATAGCTGGTAACTGCCGACATGCATAACTACGTCATCTCGCCTACTCTGTGTAACCAGTCAGAACAGTCAATCCCAAAGGATCATTGTTTGGTTTTCAAGTAAATGGGAGAAGGAGGAAAAGACTGTCTTTCTGGGGCCTGTATTTCCTTTGATGTTAACCCCCGAAATGAGCACCTTACTTCCCTAGTAATTTTTATGTGCCATCTGCATGGCTTGCCTCATTCCCTCTCCCAGCAGAAGAGCCCTGTCTGTCTGTCCCGTTGTGCAGAGAGGTCATTAGGATGCTGGTTTTGAGAGGTCTCTTGGTTTCAGGCAGGGTTTACACAGTGGTGGCAAAAAATGGCTGTAACTTCCCCTTCTGCTGGGTGGGTTGTGCAAGACAGGATTGCAAATATGATAGATGAGGCTCCCTAGTGGGGAGTATTTGCTCCTTAATGTCCCCTTTTCAGTAGTTTCCTCCAGGAAGACTCTTTAATGGTGCCTGAATATATAGGAATATCTGTACTGCAAGAAAAGGGTATTTGTTTCATGTGGGCTACCACCAGCTCTGGGGTTCTGTGAAGACTCAAGTGACAATTGGAAAAGGTATTTTATAGCTCCTAGCAAAGCTTGCGAAGGCTTGTTATTTGTCAAAACCGTGTTAGCCAAAAATGGAATGATGAAATGCACCCTAGGAAAAAAAGTAATTGCTAGATCTGCTCCAGAGCTAGGACTTGTGTCTAAAGTACAGCTAAAAGTCTCATAACAGAATGTCTGCTTCAATGAAGTCCTGATCAGGGCCCTCTGCTAACATCCACAGCCCTTCCTCAGAAATGGACATGTGCTCAAACTTCTGTCTGAATTCTTAAAGCTTTTGAGAACCAAACAGCTCAGCATGGTTTCAGTCAATACAGACTGAGTGTATGGCAGTGTGACATTTCCTTTCCAAAACTGTTTCAATGGTTCAGATTCTGGCCTGTTAGACTAATGTAAATTTTCTTATACTGCTGGAGCTTGTCTACATTTCAGTCACTTCACCAAAGAGCAAAGTCAGGTCAAGCAGGACTGTTGTATGTTAATGAGATTTACACTCGGAGCAGCCTTTGTTTAGAGAGAGGTTTTAACAGTCCCAAGGCACCAGACTGGAATGGCTCTCAGAGGTATTGTGGAAACCTTTACACTTTAACTAATTTGTTCTTCTCGGCATCTGCCTTTCACTTTAAAAAATAATAAAAAAAGGACTGCTTCCTGGAAATGGGTTAGGCATTGTCTATTCACAGGAGAAGGATGGGAAAATGGAAAACACCTTCTGGAGCAAACAGATAAATTAAACAGTAGTGTCTGAGCAAATAACGTGCCTCCAGTTTAATTACAGCTGAACAATGGTGCGGATCACTTGGTTTCAGCAGCAGGCTGACTTCCGTGAGGACTCTGTGTTTTTAAAATACTCTATTTGCAAGTTCTTCAGGACATGGGCCAGTATAGGAGAGTGTGAATGTGCAATGCACAGCCCGACAAGAAGTGAAATTATAAGGAACTGTTGCAGAGAAGAATTAGGAAAACAACCACTTGGCAGCCCATTATAATTATGTAGCTTTCAGTCCACCCTCCCCTGCTCCTGTCTTGACTTCTCTTTCCACATAGGATCTTGCCAATTCCTTTTTGAGAGAAGGAAGGGCAAAACATGGCATTCATCTTACCTCTCCAACTTCCTTTCATTTTTCAGCAACTAAAGAGTTTTCATTTCTGTCTTGCTTCTAACCCTCAACTTATTTTGGTGACCCCACATTATCCAATCTCCTGACCTCTCTGTTCCTTTTCCCCTGACTGTCCCCCCTTGTATAAAGATGCCATGGTCTCACTGACCATAAAGTAAATGAAATATAACCAGCCTGTTTGCTTCTGCTACTCTCATTCCTCCTTTCAGCTCCAAGCTCACTGAATCCACTATCTGTAAAATTGTCTGGAGTCCCTCCCTTGTTCTAGCACAGGCCCTCTCCGAGTTTGACTTCATCTTTTGACATTCCACCAAAACTACTCTTGTCCCAGCTTTTACCGGCCTTGTCTTAGACAAAGCCAGAACCACTGTAGCCTGCCGTCTTCCTGATTTACATCGTCGATGTTGAATGCAATCAGCTGTTCTTTTCTTCTTAAAAATGTCTCCCACCTCACTCCCGTGTCTCTTGTGTCTTGGCTGTTCAGCCTCCCATGCTTCTGCAGAGAATTCTCCTCCCTCCTCCCCTCTTTTGTGGGCTTTGAATGTATTATCCTTCATTTCCTTGGTTGGTTGGTTGGGTTTTTTTTGCTGTACCTTTTCTCTGGTTGGTCTTACCGA